CAAGGTTTGGTTGGTTCTGGCAGAAGAGTCGCTGGAACGAACAGAAAGCACCGATGGGAGGTTTGTGGATTTGGGGGAGTTTCTGTCAGAACCCGGACCTGCACCAGGACACACACGAGGGCCCTGCTCCACAGGAGACTTCCAGCTTCTAGGAACAGTGGTGTTTATGCCATTTTGGTTCAAACCGGCAGAACTAGCCAGCAGTTTTCTCCTGGGAGAGATAACAAGGGAAGGAAGAAGGAAAAAAAAAATATATTTAGTCTTTACCAAGTTCTACAACATTCATTAAACAGTTTGGCCTCACTGCTATTAAACATCTTAACATATGGTGGTTCCGTCGTGTTCTGAGTCACCATGTTTGAAAACTATTTCAAACAAATCTAGGGAAGAGAAAATACCACCAGCAGAAACTAATGACAAAACATGTGACATCATCTCCACAGACACAATATAAAAGAACTCCTAAAAGCAAGGAACACATCCAGGCCAGGTAGAATATAAAAAATAAATCCTTAAGAAGCCAAACTTGAAGTTAAAAGTATGCTTGAACCAAATCATGTTTTCAGGTACTTTCTAAAGACTATGTCTGAGTGCAGCAATGAGAAATAAAATAAGTTGTTGTACTGAGAACATTTACAGAAGCTCATAGTCTCAAGTCCAGGAATAATCTAACCAAAATCCCAAATCCCAATGCTTTGCCCATGCATTGTGCCATCAGCTGACACAGCAGACAGAGCAGCAGGTTGTGGCAGCAATAATTCCACTGGAAGATGACAAGTTCAGGGATATTAGGAGAAATCCCCATCCCTGCAGTCAGCGAGAGGGGAGACAACACCAGCAGAACGCCCGAGGCAGGAGAACTGAGGAGGACACCCGGCAGGTCACATCACATCACCTGTGGGTGCAGAAGCACCTGGTGCCAGGCTCCTCCTCAGGCTGCCCGCGGAACTGGATCCTCCCTCTGGCAGCACACAGGGACCCCCCAACACTTGCAGCAGTTCGGGGTATTTTGTTCCCTCCCTCAGCCCGCGTTCCAAGCTTTTTAAATCCCGTCCTGGCCCGTTCTCCGGCGTGCTGGAGACACCTGCAGGCGGCTCCCCGCTGCTCGCGGAGCTGCTCCAGCCTACCTGAGCTCCCTGTGCTGCAGCAGGGCGCGGGCGCAGCGCAGGGCCTGCAGCTCCTGCAGGGGGATGGCATCCACCAGCTCGCAGATGGCCTCCATGACTCCGAGCAGCCGCGGGGCCACGGGCACGGCCTCACCTGCCACGGGGAGGGAGCTCAGCACAGTCATTCCCACAGAACTGCTGTCACCAGGACAGCACCCTCACCGAGGACAGTGAGGGTGGTGTCCTGGTGACAGCAGTAAGACAAGTACAGTCTTACTGCTGTCACCAGTAAGTAAAGTATGTTGGAAGTAAATTGTTTAGACAGTAAATCAGTCTAAACAATTTACTTCCAACATACTTTTAGTCCAGGTGCATAAAGAAACTGTTTCTGTGTGCAGGAACTCAATGAATCGACATATTTTTTCACTTTTTTATTATTATCTGTCTATAATCCAACTATTTATGTCAACTCTGCAGCTACAGATGTTAATTCTCCATCTGTTAATGTTCTTGGATTACAGAGGATGATAAATAGTCGCAAACTATCCCCAAAATCAGAGATGTGACATTCCAAAGCATTTTGTGTACCTGAATCCCCTGCACTGGGATCACCTCCAGGATGTGTTGTGGGAACTTTCTCCTGCCTGGCCTCAGAGCTGCCAGGTGTGCACCTTCCTCCAGTGGGAGAGTCTCTGAAAACACTGCTAACACCAAAAGAAAAAGCCATGAAAATACAGGTATCTGTAAACTGAGGCACTTCCACAGAACAGCGGGATTTAAGATGTGTGGAGAAGATAAATTCCTGAAGGCCCAGGCAGAACCCAAGAGCTCAGCAGTCACTCATCCTGGGTTCCAACGTGTGGAATTTCCTCCCATCCCCCTACAAAAGTTACTCTGCTTTTTTTCTGAAGTGAAAGCCCTCTAAAACATCAGCCATAAACTAGTATTTGCTAAAGCATTAATTGCAGCTGCCAGCCACCAACCTGCCAAGCAGCAGAGACACGAGCTCAGTCTGTGCCTCTTTAACAAGCAGGAGTTTTGGGCTGGTTTTGGAACTTTTCTACTCGTGCACCAGCCAGCTGTTCCAGCAGTGAGCTCTGATTACCTGGCACTTTGTACAGAGGGGGAGAAGGGAGGCAGCTCCTCCTCAGGGGAGGGAGGGATGATGTCCAGGTCATCCTCCTCCAGCTCAGCACCTGCCCACGGCCAGCTGGCCTCATCCAGTTCTGGGGAGCTGTTCCCAGCCCTCGGTGGCTCCTGGCCCCCTTCAGCACCAGCAGCTGCAAGAGAAGTCATTGATATTGCTGGGTAGCACTGCACACTCAGCCTGCCACAAACAGGGGGAAAACAGCAGCCAGACTTCAAAACACTGACACAGATTCTGACTTCCAAAGGATAAAACTTGCTGCTCCCTTTTGTCCCCCATTAAAACAGACAGACAAATCCCCACAAACCCCCACTGAAGTGGAAAAGTGATACAGCTAAACCTACAGTCACCTGTCCCTGGCAGAAGTGAAACACTGAAGAGGTCTATTTTTCTGCAACAGTTTTCTATAAAAACAATTTCTATAAAAATCTGTTTCTATAAAAAGCTCCTATTATATTAAGTCCCAGCCTTAGAAGAGTGCAGACTCATCAGCTAGCACAATCCCTGTACTGGAATTGGCAGGTAAATGTACATGTATTGTCTTAAAAGACAAATCCTACAAAGAGAGGTCAATATCATTAACTTATTGAAATTAATTTCGCAGAGAAAGGAAAAGACAACAAAATATTAAGAACAGATATACAGTTCACAAATCTTTTCACCACTCAGCATAAGGGCAGCATCCCAGAACACTCTTGGAGGTTATTCAGTTGCATAAACATGGTAATTTCCCAAATAAAGGTCCAAAGTTTCAAAACACAGCGGGTAAGGAATCTAAAATAAAGCAGTTCTGTGGGACAGAGCTGCCAAAGCAATGACAGGCAGGAATTTTGTGATCATAACTGAGGGTTGGAGCTCTTTTGTGTTTGTGTTAAAAATGGACAGCAGTCACTTTTTCTGGTTTAGTACTCCATTTAGGTGTAAGATGACTTTACATCTGTCCTGCATTAATTTTCTGAGCGCTTTTCTCTCCACAACATTCCTATAGATTATTAACCATTCCGGGAATGCCATAAGTCTTTGTGACGAGCAGCTGCTACTCCTGCAGGGGAAAACGCTGCCGTGCTCCCAGGCTGGGGGTACCCAAAGGGAACCAGGGCCGCCTGCCAGTGCCGAGCTCGCAGCCGCCCGCGATTCCTGAGCGGCCAGGCCAAGCCAAGCCGAGCCCCGGGGCGCACACAGCGCTGCTCCCCCAGCTCGGTACCCGCACACAGCCCTTACCTGGGCGAGCCCCGGCGCTGCCCGCACCCCGGGCGGGCTCGGCAGCCGCCCGCTCCCCGCAGCCGAGCCCCGCAGCCCAGCTGCCGCTGCAGGGAGCCGAGTCCTCCAGGCAGATGACGGAGCGCTGCGAGCAGGGGCTCGGCTCGGGCTGCGGCGCTGCCCCGCTGCCCGCGGGCCCCGGGGCGCCGGCCGGCCGTGGGCCGGGGCTGCGGGGCGGAACACAGCCCCGCGGCGGCGCTTTGGCGGCCGGCGGAGCCGAGGCGGGCAGGGCCAGCGAGGTGTTCACGTCCTTGTCCCTCAGCACCGCGGCCAGGCCCTGGGGCGCCTTCTTGAAGGTGAAGCCCCTGCAAACGAGACGAGCCCCCGTCAGTCCCCGGCCGCGGCGGGGGCCCCGGCCCGCGGCCCAGGCGCGGTACTCACGGCGGGCGGTCCCGCGGCGGC